TTCAGGAAAAACAATGTTATGAAGAGTAAATTGTGTGTGTTTTGGAAATCTAATATTAAGGCATGGGTCATGAGGGAAATTTTCGTCGAGTGGTTCAATGAAGTGTTTGGCCCTAGTGTGAAGGAGTATCTCCTGGAAAAGAAATTGGATCTCAAGTGCCTGCTAGTAATGGACAATGCACCTGCTCATTTCCCCCAAACTTGGATGACCTAATTTTCGAGGAGTTTGGGTTCATCACAGTAAAGTTCTTGCCCCCGAATAACACTCCTCTCCTCCAACCCATGGACCAGCAGGTTATTGCAAACTTTAAAAACTCTACACAAAAGCAATGTTTCACAGGTGCTTGAATGTGACCACAGACACTCACTTGACCCTAAGGGAATTTTGGAGAGAACACTTCAGCATCCTCCACTGCATAACCCTTATAGGTATGGCTTGGGAGGGAGTGACTACCAGGACTTTGAACTCTGCCTGGAGAAAATTGTGGCCAGATTGTGTCGACAAGAGGGATTTTGAAGAATTTGGGACTGACCCTAATGAGCCTATGTCTGTTGTAAAATCAATTGTGGCACTGAGGAGTTCCATGGGGTTGGATGTGAGTTTGGAGGATGTGGAAGAATTGGTGGAAGACCACAATGAAGAGCTCACCACTGAGGAGCTGCAAGAGCTTCAGCAGGAAGAGCAACACATCGCAGCTCAGAATCTTGCTGCAGAGGAGGAAGAGAGATGGAAGAAGGTGCCTTCTTCAGAAATTAAAAAGATTTTTACTATGTGGGGTAAGATGGAAAGCTTTATGGAGAAACATCACCCTAACAAGGTTGTTGCAAGCCAGGTTGGCAACATGTACAGTGACAAAGTCTTGGGCCATTTTAGGGAAGTGTTAAAGAGACGTCAGAAACAGAACTCTCTGGACAGTTATTTTGTGAGACAGGACTCCAGTGACTCTCAAGGTGGTCCTAGTGGCATTAAGAAACAGAAGAGAAGCAACCCCAGAAAAGCAAATGGTACCTGAGGTGTTGATGGAAGGGGATTCCCCTTCCAAACTATAAACAATCCACTCTCTCTCCTCCTCCAGTCTCCCATACACTAAGAAGAATCTCCAATAAAGGTAAGTGTTATGCTGTTAATGTTTCATTCATCATTTCCCATTGTATTGTTTATGTACTACATGCATATTTCATGTTAGAAAATTTTTTGTTTTAATACTTCTGGGTGTCAGGAACAGATTAATTGTATTTACATTATTTCTTATGGGGAAAATTGATTCGTAAATCGTAAATTTCGTTTATAGTAACGGCTCCAGGAACGGATTAATTACGAACAACGAGGGACCACTGTACTTGTATACCCTGAAAACCAGTATAATGAAAACATCTGTACTCTATGTATACACAACCTGAATAATAATAATGTTTATTTCTTTAGGCTGCACAAATATACAGTACTTTAAATGAGTTAGTACAATGGTGGACACAGAAGAAAGCCACTAATTATGCAATGTATTTCAGGTAATTAATCATAAGGCTTACACACTACTAAAGAACTAGACATAGACTACAGTGGACCCCCAGATTACGACATTGTTGGATTACGTAAAATTCGGATTAAGTAACGTTGTTGCGTCAAAACATTGGCTCGGTTAACGACAAAGAACTCGGATAAAGTCATTCATCCCGAACGTGTCTGCGTGACCTGAGTGGCCTGGCCACTCCATGTACAGCCACTGTTCCATTGTTTACAAGCCAGTGAGGACAATTCCACGCATACATGCGGTACATTTTGTATTATTCCATTGTTTTTAGTGCTTGTAACTGCTAAATAAGCCACCATGGGCCCAAAGAAAGCTTCTAGTGCCAGCCCTGTGGTAAAGAGGGTGAGAAATACTATTGAATTCAGGAAAGAGATCATCGCAAAATACGAAAGTGGAGTGAGTGTCTCCGAGCTGGCCAGGTTGTATAACAAACCCCATACAACCATCACTACTATCTGGGCCAAGAAAAAGGTAATCAAGGAAGCTGTTGTTGCAAAAGGTGCAAATATACTTAAAAAAACAGAGATCGAAAAATACAGAGATGTGGAAAGACTGTTGTTGGTGTGGATCAACGAGAAACAATTATCAGGAGACAGTTTTTTTTCATTTCAGTTATTGTGAAAAGGCAAGGCAGATGTATAATGATCTCGTTAAGAAAATGCCTGGAACTAGTACTGATATTGATGAATTTAAGGCCAGCAAAGGCTGGTTTGAGAGATTTAAGAATCATAGTGGCATACACAGTGTGATAAGGTATGGCGAGGTTGCCAGTTCTGACAAAAAAGCAGCTGAAATACATGTGCAGAAATTTAAGGCTGAACAATTAAAACCCCAACAAGTGTTCAATTGTGACAAAACAGGCCTGTTTTGGAAGAAAATGCCAAACAGGACCTACATTACTCAGGAGGAAAAGGCACTCCCAGGACACAAGCTATGAAAGACAGGTTTAAATTCCATGTTTTGTAGTAATGCTAGTGGGGACTGCAAAGTGAAGCCTTTACTCGTGTATCACTCTGAAACTCCCAGTGTATTCAAGAAAAACAGTGTCATCAAGACTAAATTGTGTGTGATGTGGAGAGCAAACAGTAAGGCATGGGTCACTTGGGACATTTTCCTAGGTTGGTTCCATGACATGTTTGGCCCCAGTGTGAAAAAATACCTCCTGGAAAATAAATTGGAACTCAAGTGCCTCCTGGTATTAGACAATGCTCCTGTTCATCCTCCAGGCTTGGAAGAGCGAATGGTGCCGGAGTTTAGTTTCATCAAAGTCAAGTTTTTGCCTCCTAACACCACTCCTCTCCTCCAGCCCATGGACCAGCAGGTCATTTCAAATTTCAAAAAACTGTACACCAAAGCACTGTTTCAAAAGTGCTTTGAAGTGACCTCAGACAGTGAATTGACCCTAAGAGAGTTCTGGAAAGATCATTTCAGTATCCTCAATTACATAAACCTTATAGGTAAGGCTTGGGAGGGAGTGACTTGCAGGACTTTGAACTCTGCTTGAAGAAAATTGTGGCCAGAATGTGTACAAGAGAGGGATTTTGAAGGGTTTGGGACTGACCCTGAGGAGCCTATGCCAGTTGTGGAATCTATTGTGGCACTGGGGAAGTCCGTGGGGTTGGAGGTTAGTGGGGAGGATGTGGAAGAGTTGGTGGAGGACGACAATGAAGAGCTAACCACTATAGAGCTGCAAGAGCTTGAGGTGCAACACCAACAGACCACAGCTCAGGAATTTCCTTCAGAGGAGGAGGAAGAGAGATGGAGGAAGTTGCCTTCTTCAAAGATTAAGGACATTTGTACAATGTAGACAAAGATGCAAGCATTTATGGATGAACATTACCCTGACACAGCTGTTGCAGGCCGTGCTGGCAATATCTACAATGACAATGTTGTGTCCCATTGTCATTGGAATGGGTAATAATTTGTACAGAAGCTTTTCATTGAGTTATTATTGGTTTTAGGTTTTTGACAAAGTTAATCTCTAGGTAAGGACAGATTAGGGAGTAGTACAAACCTAACTTAACTAAACCTAAATTACTTAGACTAGCTATAAAATTGTAGGTTAAGTTAGATAACATGGTTAGGTTATATAAAAAAAAAGTCTTTCCTAAAAGCACTAAATATATTTATCTCTATTGCACAACACACTTAATACTGGTGAATTTATATAATAAAAACTCAACTGGAGATAAAGTAAATACTAACTGCAACATGTTATGGATTGCAAAATGAGAAAAAGAGGATGAAGAGACCCCAATGGTGATAAGCCAAACATAGTGACTATTGGGTCATTCAAATAAAAGTTTCTTAGCTACACTCATCCCAAGGATGGCAATGCTTGCACCACCCAAAAAAACATTTCTACATTATTATTAATATTATATTAATATTATTATTATTGTTATTATGACATTCATGGGAGAACACTAAACCAGTAGGGGGTCATTCAGCACCTGGTGGTATGGAAGGCATACAGACTCAAGTCAAAGAATTGAAGCAGAGGTCCAATTCCTCAGATCAAGAACCCCTTGGGCACTCGCGACTGATGGCTCGTCTGTACCGAGTTCAGATGACGGACTCTCCATACTGCCTGTGGTGTCCCTCACAGCCTGAGACGGTGGAACATTTCCTGTTGTGGTGCCCACGTTATCACTCTGCACGGACTACTCTCCGTGCGGCCTTGCGCACACTTGGGGTGCACACTTCACTCTACTCTCTCCCTCTCAAAGGGGAGGTTTCACCTTCTGGACCAGCAGGAGATATTGGCCTGTACCTGCTCCTTCCTGCTGGCTTCAGGGCATATCAGGGATATATGATACATAGTTATTAGTCAAAACATTTCCACTTTGGTCGAAGTCCCCTCTCCTAGCACTGGACGGCCGGGCTCGATACGATGTATACTGTCAGTGGCCCTGAAACCCAACAGAAGAAGAAGAACCCCTCACTGTAAATGGGAAACCCATTTACAGTCTTGAACCTGTCAGCTTAAGGTTATTACCCGAGTCACAAAAAAAATTTAAGCCTTAAAATTAAAATAATATTGCTGTTGTTGCTCGTTGCTCAGTTGGTAGCGTGCTCAGCTCATATACTGCATTGTGGTTCGATCCCCTAGCAGTAAGTAGGTACCTGGGTGTTAGTTACCTTACACCTGCTGTCCCTGTTTATCTAGCAGTAAGTAGGCACCTGGGGGCTAATCACCTTACACCTGCTGTCCATGTTCATCTAGCAGTAAATAGGTACCTGGGTGTTAGTTGACTGGCGTGGGTGGCATCCTGGGGGACAAGACTGAAGGATCACAATGGAAAAAGACAGACAGTCCTGGATGACACACTGACTTTATTGGGTTATCCTGAGTTGCTAACACACACCCCCTGCTAGATAACCCCAGTACTATCTTATCTTACCCAAGTGTAACAATGCTAGTGTAAGTTTACTTAGAAATGGGTATATATAAGCACAATTATCATACATAGTGTAAATTACGTAGGAGTGCTGCAGACACCTTGTTGCGGCTTGAAGTGTCAGTGAAAACTTTCTTGGTGCTGCAGCCCAGGTTCTCCATGCAGGGAAGTGAAATACTGCCCAAAACTGGGAGATGGAAACAAAGGGAACAGTGTTCCTTTTACAGCAAGACTCAGGTACATGAGGTTGAAGAACTCTGACAGAGAACCTTGTTGTTGTTGTTGTTGTTAGTGTTGATGGTCACCACGGCTCACGACTGCTCACACCTCTCTTCTCTTGCTTGTAAAGTAAATATTAACCAAATATGGACAATGATAAGACAGAGAAATATAAATTTACCAAAAGAAAAAGTTAATCTTCCTGCCTAAGACCCAGAAAACTGCACCCGACCTGAATTACTGACCGGCTACACGTCAAGACGTAACTAAGGTGGCGAGCAGCTGGTTGTCATGGTAACGTGTGATAAACAAGTTATATAACAGTGAATGGTTGTATGACCCTTCCCCTCAAGGAAGGTTCCTTGATGTTGGTGAGGGGCTCTTGATTTAGGGAATTGGATCTGTGCTCCAGTTCCCCGAATTAAGCCTGAATGCCTTCCACATCCCCCCCCAGGCGCTGTATAATCCTCCGGGTTTAGCGCTTCCCCTTGATTATAATAATAATAATGTATGACCCTTATCCTCAGTGTCCTTGATGCTGGAGAGGGGCTCTTGATTTCAGGAATTGGATGTATGCTCCAGTTCCCTGAATTAAGCCTGAATACCTTCCATCTCCCCTACAGGCGCTGTATAATCCTACAGGTTTAGGGCTCTCCCGTGATTATAATGTATTACCCTTACTCCTCAAGGAAGGTTCCTTGACGTTGGTGAGGAGCTCTTGATCTAGGGAATTGGATCTGTGCTCCGGTTCCCTGAAATAAGCCTGAATACCTTCCACATCCCCCAAGGCGCTGCATAATCCTACGGGTTTAGCGCTCCCCTTGATTATAATACGTACAATAATACTAATAATCTTTATTTACTACAAGTACATGTACAGTGTATACAGTCCTAGCTGACATCAGTGACATACTACTATATAGAAAGTCGCTTTTTATGCACAGCATTTCGGGCAGATTAGGTCACTTTTGCCCCAGGATGCGACCCACACCAGTCCACTAAAACCCAGGTACCCATTTTATTGATGGGTGAACATACACAACAGGTGTAAAGAAACGCACCCTATGTTTCTACCCTCGCTGGGAAGTGAACCCGGACCCCTCGCCTTGTGAAGCGAAAGCTTTTGCCACCAAGCGACGGGACATCCTTCTGGGTTTAGCGCTTAGTTTTGATTGTAATAATGAGTAACAATGGATGGAAGTAGCATTGATAAAACTCTGTTATTGTTTGAAATAAAACTTACAGATGGAATATATAACATGTATTTTGTTGGGTTTTGAAATGTATGAATTTACAGTCTTAGACACTGACCTTTTTTTTCTTATCCTAGATAATATACACATGTTAAACTATATATGATAATTGTACTTATGTGTATAGAGTAAAGTCTGAAGCGGTTACGGTGAAAAACTGTGTTCCACAAGGCACAGTACTCGCTCCCATCCTATTCCTCATTCTCATATCTGAAAGACAGGGATGTAAACCATACCACCGTGTTTCCTTTGTAGATGACACCCGAATTTGTATGACAGTGTCCTCCATTGATGACACTGCATGACTCCAGGCGGACATCAACCAAAGCTTTAAATGGGCTGCAGAAAACAATATGAAGTTCAGTGATGAGAAATTTCAATTACTCCAATATGGATAACGTGAGGAAATTAAAACTATATCAGAGTATAAAACAAATTTCAACCACACAATAGAACGAGAAACTAATGTAAAAGACCTGGGAGGGATCATGTCATAGGATCTCACCTTCAGACCATAACATTGTATCAATCGCATCTGCTAGAATATTGAGAGGATGGATAATGAGAACCTTCAAAACTAGGGATGCTAAGCCCATGATGACACTCTTCAGGTAGCTTGTTCTATCTAGGCTGGAATATTGCTGCACACTAACAGCACCTTCCAAGGCAGGTGAAATTGCTGACCTAGAAAATATACAGAGAACCTTCACGGTGCGCATAACGGAGATAAAACACCTCAATTACTGGGAACACTTGAAGTTCCTCGAACTGTACTCCATAGAATGCAGGCGGGAGAGATACATGATTATATACACTTGGAAAATCCTAGAGGGATTAGTAAATTTGCACATGAAAATCACTCCATATAAAAGCAAAAGACTCGGCAGGCGATGCTACATCCCCTCAGTGAAAAGCAGGAGCGCCACTAGCATGATAAGAAACAACGCAGTAAGTGTCAAGAACCCAAGACTGTTCAACTGCCTCCCAGCACACATAAGGAGGATTACTCTTGTTACCTTGATGCTGGTGGGCTCTTGTTACCTTGATGCTGGTAGACTCATGTTACCTTGATGCTGGTAGACTCGTGTTACCTTGATGCTGGTGGACTTTTGTTACCTTGATGTTGGTGGACTCATGTTACCTTGATGCTGGTGGACTCTTGTTACCTTGATGTTGGTATCAGTATGTCACCATTAAAGACACAGCATCAACAACACGGCCACTTGATACTGGAGTTCCGCAGGGAAGTGTCCTTGGTCCCCTGCTCTTCCTCATACACATCAATGATCTTCCATACGTATCCCAACACCTGAAACCCATTCTCTTTGCTGACGACACGACTTACGTCATCTCTCACCCTAATCTTGCCACCCTCAACACCATTGTTAACGAGGAGCTCATCAAAATATCGACTTGGATAACAGCCAATAAACTTACGCTTAACACTGACAAAACCTACTATATTATGTTTGGTAGCAGAGCAGGAGATGCACAAATTAACATTAAGATCGACAACACTCTAATTACCAGACATAATGAGGGCAAATTCCTAGGCCTATACCTTGACAACAACCTGAATTTCAGCACCCATATCCAACACATAACCAAAAAAGTATCCAAAACGGTTGGGATCCTCTCCAAGATACGATACTACGTGCCGCAAAATGCCCTTCTCACACTATACCACTCACTTATTATCCATACCTCACCTATGCTATTTGTGCTTGGGGATCAACTGCAGCAACACACCTAAAGCCAATAATAACACAACAAAAAGCTGCAGTAAGAATAATCACTAAATCCCATTCCTGGCAACACACCCCCCCACTCTTCATAGATCTAAACTTACTCCTTGTTCAGTACATCCACACTTACTACTGTGCAATCTACATCTACAGGACCTTAAACTCTAATATCAACCTTGACCTAAAACGCTTTCTTGATAGTTGTGACAGAACCCACAAGCATAACACCAGACACAAACATCTCTACGACATTCCCCGTGTCCGACTAAACCTTTACAAAAATTCAATGTATGTCAAAGGCCCTAAAATCTGGAACACCCTACCTGAGAACTCTAGAACTGCAGACACATTCATCACCTTCAAAACTACCATTAGAAAACATCTTATCTCCCTGATACACCCCGTCAACTAACTACACGAATACCACCTGGTGGTTCACACTTACACTCACCCATTTGACCATAAACAGAAATATTAATCTCAATCTTAAAATAATGAATCCTGTGATACTCCAATACTGAAACTATGTACTGTGCCAAAACAAAAGCATTCACATTGCTAAACTCACAAACTAGTATTTAGTCACTTAGCCATATTACCAACTTACCTCATAATTTGTAATATTTTAAAATAAAGAATTAAACTAAGTCTGCCCGAAATGCCTAGCCATGCTAGGCGTTCTAGTGGTACACTCTGTAATCATTATTTAACTACATGTAAACCACACAATAACCAAATTCTGCAAATTCAACATTGTAATCCTTATAGAGAACAAACTTTGAATTGAATTGAATTTATGCTGGTGGACTCTTGTTACCTTGATGTTGGTGGACTCTTGTTACCTTGATGGTGGACTCTTGTTACCTTACCCTATCACGAGCTTTTACCATCCTATGGAGAGGGAGCATGGACACGGGGGTCGTCCCACAGTTACTAAAAACAACAGACATAGCCCCACTCCACAAAGGGGGCAGTAAAGCAACAGCAAAGAACTACAGATCGATAGCACATACATCCCATATCATAAAAATCTTTGAAAGGGTCCTAAGAAGCAAGATCGCCACCCATCTAGAAACCCATCAATTACACAACCCAGGGCAACATGGGTTTAGAGCAGGTCGCTCCTGTCTGTCTCAACTATTGGAACACTACGACAAGGTCCTAGATGCACTAGAGGACAAAAAGAATGCAGATGTAATATATAAAGGCTTTGCAAAAGCCTTCAACAAGTGTGACCATGGCGTAATAGCGCACAAAATGCGTGCTAAAGGAATAACAGGAAAAGTCGGTCGATGGATCTATAATTTCCTCACTAACAGAACACAGAGAGTAGTAGTCAACAGAGTAAAGTCCGAGGCGGCTACGGTGAAAAGCTCTGTTCCACAAGGCACAGTACTCGCTCCCATCTTGTTTCTCATCCTCATATCTAACATAGACAAGGATGTCAGCCACAGCACCGTGTCTTCCTTTGCAGATGACACCCGAATCTGCATGACAGTGTCTTCCACTGCAGACACTGCAAGGCTCCAGGCGGACATCAACCTAATCTTTAAATGGGCTGCAGAAAACAATATGAAGTTCAACGATGAGAAATTTCAATTACTCCGATATGGTAAACACGAGGAAATTAAAACTTCATCAGAGTACAAAACAAATTCCGGCCACAAAATAGAGCGAAAACCCAACGTCAAAGACCTGGGAGTGATCATGTCGGAGGATCTCACCTTCAAGGACCATAACATTGTATCAATCGCAGCTGCTAGAAAAATGAGAGGATGGATAATGAGAACCTTCAAAACTAGGGATGCCAAGCCCATGATGACACTCTTCAGGTCGCTTGTTCTATCTAGGCTGGAATATTGCTGCACACTAACAGCACCTTCCAAGGCAGGTGAAATTGCTGACCTAGAAAATATACAGAGAACCTTCACGGTGCGCATAACGGAGATAAAACACCTCAATTACTGGGAGCGCTTGAAGTTCCTAAACCTGTATTCCCTGGAACGCGGGCGGGAGAGATAACATGATTATATACACCTGGAAAATCCTGGAGGGACTAGTACCGAACTTGCACACGAAAATCACTCACAACGAAAGCAAAAGACTTGGCAGACGATGCAACATCCCCCCAATGAAAAGCAGGGGTGTCACTAGTACGTTAAGAGACAATACAATAAGTGTCATGGGCCCGAGACTGTTCAACTGCCTCCCAGCATACATAAGGGGGATTACCAGTAGACCCCTGGCAGTCTTCAAGTAGGCACTGGACAAGCACCTAAAATCGGTACCTGACCAGCCGGGCTGTGGCTCGTACGTTGGATTGCGTGCAGCCAGCAGTAACAGCCTGGTTGATCAGGCTCTGATCCACCAGGAGGCCTGGTCACAGACCGGGCCGCGGGGACGTTGACCCCCGAAACTCTCTCCAGGTAAACCTTGATGCTGGTGGGCTCTTGTTACCTTGATCCTGGTGAACTTTTGTTACCTTGATCCTGGTGGACTTGTAACCTTGATGTTGGTGGACTCTTGCTACCTTGATGTTTGTGGACTCTTGCTACCTTGATGTTGGTGGACTCTTGCTACCTTGATGTTGGTGGACTCTTGCTACCTTGATGTTGGTGGACTCTTGCTACCTTGATGTTGGTGGACTCTTGCTACCTTGATGTTGGACTCTTGCTACCTTGATGTTGGTGGACTCTTGCTACCTTGATGGTGGACTCTTGCCTACCTGATGTTGGACTCTTGCAACTCATGATGTTGGAGTACTCTTGTTCCCTGACGCGTAGCATGACTCCTACGTCGTAATAGTAATAATCGCAAGTGCAACAAGTCAGAGTAGACAGCGAGTAGTCAGTGTTACTGACACTCAGACATATCAGTAGTGTTACTGAACACTCAGGCAGCACTAGTCAGTGTTACTGACACTCAGGAAACACTAGTCAGTGTTACTGACACTCAGGAAACATTAGTCAGTGTTACTGACACTCAGGCAACAATAACAGTAGTCGGTTACTAACAATCAGGCAGCACTAGTCAGTGTTACTGACACTGGCATACAGGCAACAGTAACATTAGTCATTGTTGCTAACACTCAGGCAACAATAACACTATTTTTTATTTTTTATTTTTTATTCGCCGGTATTCTCCCGGCCCGGGTCTTTTCCAAGTAGTGGTGACCACTAGCCAGTGTTATTGACACTCAGGCAACACTGGACCTATAGTTGGTACAGTGGTCACTGGACCTAGCCATTACACTGGTGTTAACTAGTGTCAGTGTGAGTCAGTCCCCAAGATGGCCCACACGGGTTTAACAGTTCTCATGTATACTCTTGTCAAAATAATACATTACATACATAGGTCAATAACAGGTATCACAAATAATGCTATAAAAATTTTGAAAAATTTTAATTTTCAATCAAGACTTAGGAGGCAGGAAGCGGTGTATGTTTGGCTTAATGAGTGGCAGGATACACTGGACAGAGTGAGGCCAGTCACATGTTGTCTGGTCCTGGTTCCACAACAGTCCACCGGGACAGTCAAACCTGCAAGAAAATACAGTACTCTGCAACCCATGTCATTAATTCTTTGCTGATAATAATGCAGCTAAAGTTATTCAAACAAACAAAATATTGAACACGTGCCACATAGAGATGTTTATTATATTACATAAGTTTAATATTGTTTGTTGTGCCCACGCCACAGGGCACAATAAACAATATGAAATTCTTCTTCTAGGAAAAGTTGAGTAAGGTTTGTTAGAAAACAGGACAAGTGTTTCCACGCGGGTCTTAGTCAAATGATGACCCGCCACTGGAGCTCTTGGTCATCTGACCGAGTAAATGCAAATGTAGTATAAACAGACTTGGCAAAAGCCTTCGACAAGTGCGACCACAGTATAATAACGCACAAAATACGTGATAAAGGAAGAAAAGTTAGTGAATGGATCTATAACTTCCTAACAATAGAATACAAAGAGTAATAGTAAACACAGTAAAGTCTGAGGCAGCTACGACGAAAAGCTGTGTTCCACAAGGCACAGTACTCGCTCCCATCCTGTTCCTCATCCTCATATCTGACATAGACAGAGATGTAAGCCATAGGTCCATGTCTTCCTTTCCGGATGACACCCGAATTGTCATGAGTGACCTCCATCGAAGACACCCCAAGACCCCAAGCGGACATCACCCAAATCTTCAAATGGGCCACTCCGAATACGAAGTTCAATGAAGAGAAATTTCAACTACTCAGATATGGAAAACTTGAGGAAATTAAAACTGTATCAGAGTATACAACAAATTCTAACCATACAGTAGAGCGAAAAAGTAATGTGAAGGACCTGGGAGTGATAATGTCACAGGATCTCACCTTCCAAGACCACAACAATAAATCTACAGCATCTGCTAGAAAAAAGATAGGATAGATAATGAGAACCTTCAAAACTAGGGACGCCAAGCCCATGATGATTCTCTTCAAACCGCTTGTTCTCTCTAGGCTGGAATACTGCTGTACACTAACTGCTCCCATCAAGGCAGGTGAAATTGCTGACCTGGACAGTGTACTAAGAACTTTCATGGCACACATAGTGCAATAAAGCACCTAAATTACTGGGAACGTTGAAGTCCCTTGATTTGTATTCCTTGGAATGCAGGCGAGAGAGATACATGATATTTTAAACTTGGAAAATCCTAGAGGGATACCAATTTTGCACACGAAAATCACTCCCTATGAAAGCAAAAGACTCGGCAGGAGATGCAACATTCCCCGAATGAAAAGCAGGGGTGCCACGAGTACACTGAGAGACAACACAGTAAGTGTCAGGGGCCCAAGACTGTTCAACTGCCTCCCAGCACACATAAGTGGGATTGCCAATAGACCCCTGGCTGTCTTCAAGAGGACTCTTGGACAGGCACCTAAAGTTAGTACCTGACAAGCCGGGCTGTGGTTCGTAAGTCAGTTTGCGTGAGGCCAGCAGTAACAGCCTGGTTGATCAGACCCTGACCCACCACGAGGCCTGGTCTCAGACCGGGCCGCACGGGCGTTGACCCCCGAAACACTCTCCAGGTAAACTCCACGTAAGATTATACAGACTGGTTACTAATTCTCTCAGTCGGAACCCCCAACACAAAATATGGTATCTGAAGCACTGTTTAAGCAGCCCACAAAACCATTGTTCAGCCTAACAGAAAAATGCACAATATTCACGATCTTCCACGTAAGAAAAGACGAAAAATAAAATAAAATTCTACCATTAATAAATGCGTCAGTGAATGCTGCAAAATTAACAAAACGAAAATATGTGAAAGTTGTTTACCAGAGTACAGAGGCTTCTGTGGCTTAAAGTACCTACTTGTAGGCATAGTGGTTGGTGCATCTGTAGAAGGTGTAACAAGACACTGGGTCAGCAGCAAAACCCAGAGCATTGCACTCTGCAAACCAGACAGCTGCTGCTGCTGCTGCTGACGATGATGTCGCTGACGATGACACAAAGAATGTGGGAGATGCTGTCGTGGTAAACTTTAGATTAAAGCTGGAAGGAGAAGATGGAGGATGTGACTGAGAATGAAAATGAAAAGGGGAAAAAGAAGACTGGGAGTTGGGAGGCGAACTGAAAGATGAAGTGGATGAGTGAGTGTAGGGCCAGGAAGAAGGTGTAGGGGAAACAGTGCTGTCTTCACTCTGAGATGACTTCCTGAAGAAGGGCCTGTTGAAGATATTTGAGGTTAAGAATTAGTTTAATATGTTTATTATGCACCCCATACCCATCCTGTGGGCGGCAGTCAAAAGATTACAGAGGTACATAATGGGTCCAGGGACTGGACCCCAAAGTTATGATAGCTGAACTAGTTACAAAGGTAATGAACTCCAGGTAGATCTGGTCACAATCATGGCAAGTTACAGAGGTAATGAATCAGCCTCACTCCTATTCATGGTTACAGTCATGAACAAATTACAAAGTAATGAGCCACTGATACGTCCACACCTGGTCACAATTGCAATGAGTTATAAATGCAAAAATTAAGTGGGTCATACACCCACACGAGCGCGCGCGCGCACACACACACACACACACACACACACACACACACACACACACACACACACACACACACACACACACACACACACACACACACACACACACACACACATGATAACGACATATAAAATACTGCGTGGAATAGACAAGGTGGACAAAGACAGGATGTTCCAGGGAGGGGACACAGAAACAAGAGGCCACAATTGGAAGTTGAAGACACAAATGAGTCAGAGAGATAGTAGGAAGTATTTCTTCAGTCATAGAGTTGTAAGGCAGTGGAATAGCCTAGAAAATGACGTAGTGGAGGCAGGAACCATACACAGTTTTAAGACGAGGTTTGATAAAGCTCATGGAGCGGGGAGAGAGAGGGCCTAGTAGCAACCGGTGAAGAGGCGGGGCCAGGAGCTAGGACTCGACCCCTGCAACCACAAATAGGTGAGTACAAATAGGTGAGTACACACACACACACACACATACGAGGGCGCACGCACAGACACATGCACACGAGCGTACAAATATATGCATACACACAAGTACGCACACCCGCGCGCGCGCGCGCACACACACACACACACACACACACACACACACACACACATGGTAATGCATTATTTACAGCTAGCAAAGTCAGGGTATTTCTCCAGAATGGTCTGTAATATACCACTGTGGATAAAATACTTCGCCATTTCTTGAACATTTCTGAGTGAGTTGTCTCTAAATTCATTAATGACGCGGTTAAGAAATATAAAAAATTATATTTTAATAATCACTATTTAGAACTGCACTCAAATGTTAATTTTTAGTAAATCAATGGTAGTAAGAAGTTCTAATACAATATTGATTAAATAAATTAAGTCAGTGGTATTAATACGTTCCAAATGACTATTTCACAGACTCGTGAGAACAAAGGTCTAATACATAACGAAACATTTATTAATTATAAAATTGAAAAGCCTTGTTAAGATAAGAAAGTCGAGAATGAATATTTCCAGAAAATGATACTAGTTAAACAATAATTAAAATAATACATTATCTTAAGAAAGTTACAACTTGGAAAGGTGATGGAGAGTTTAATGAAACATACCATAACAACCATGGGTAAGGTGGGTCGGTTGTAGTGTTGTAAGTATTTATATCATTATTCACTTTTTCCAGGTACGATTTCTTCCCTGTAGCATCAATACCATCAATGATATTTGTGTCCCTATCATGGCTGGTTGTGTCTTCTTTACCATCTTTTAAGTTTCTCACGCCTTCAGTTCTTTCTTCACTTGGTGGTATTCTTAATGAAGGTTGTGATGATGGCGGTGGTTCACCATGTTCACACCCACCACCAGTCTTGTCTTCACTCTTCTTAAGGGTAGTGACAATGGCTGTCAGTAATGGATTGTTGCCAAGACCACAGTAATTACCAAAGTCATCGGTGGCCACGTCCCAGACCATGACACCAGCCAGACCTCTGGACACTGCATACTCAGCCTGTCAACAGTGTTGAAGGAGAAATGTTGATGCCACATTGTCTTAAAGTACGTAAAAGCAATATAGTTGAAAGCAATACAGTCTGCGTCATGTTGCATCAGTACGAAATCTGCGCAAAAATATTTTCCTTTATGTATTAATTCATGTATGAAATTATGTAATATTCCTGTAGCTAACAATATAAGCTAATTAGGGAGTAAATGAACTAGAAAAAAAGTATTAGTAATACAATGTCAATTATTAAATATTCAGGAAGAAAGTCAATCGTCGATATAAAATTCATAGGTAATCAGAAACAAATAAGACGCCTCTCGTCAACAAGCAGTCACATGGCAGGAAACATGCAAGGAACTCACGACCTTCATAAATTATTTCACTATATATCTTATAAGTCACCACTTAACAACCGTTGCTATGAATATATAAATAATGAAATTGGTGCGTTAATATGATTTCAGTATATAGAAATAATGAATAAACATTAAAATTAACATTTTGAATATGCGTGAGGGTTATTGGCGGAGGTAGATATAGGAAGGAAAAGAACGTCCATAGTGATCAGTACTGGACGCTTGTGACTGACATCCCAGCATATCACTAGAATTAATTACCATTTGCTACGACGAAGGACACTGGATAAAAGGAGCAAAGGATGTATGGACTTGATAATATAATGGTATTATCTGATCCAGGTTGTATATAAAAACAAAATGTGAGTTATGGCACTGAACTGTGAAAATGTTCCGTCCCTCAGTTTATCAATCCACACAGAGAACGAGGCATGGTATTTATGTGAGTGGTATAGACTATAGAGGTTCTGAGGTGAAAGAATGAGTTCACTTGGTCACATGTAAGTAGCCAGAAGAGTGAGGTTATGTGATCGCAGTACCGGGTACTGGGAGAATATACTTCGGAGTTTCTGAATGGTCCTGAATTTTGAATAATGTTCTTTATGGCTATAACTGTGAATTCAAGACATAATCTGCTGCGACAGTCACTTTCGTTGATGATAAGTCTTGCTTCTGGAAAGTTCATAAGGTGGTTCTCGGTGTTTCTGTGTAAGCGCATGCATTTATAGTTCATCACTTCGGTATGGTGGTGACCCCACACAGGTCTATGGTGGTGACCCCACACAGGTCTATGGTGGTGACCTCACACAGGTCTATGGTGGTGACCCCACATAGGTTCTAGGGGGTTTGACCCCACACAGGTCTATGGTGGTGACCCCACACAGGTCAATGGGGGTGACCTCACACAGGTCTATGGTGGTGACCCCACATAGGTCTATGGTGGTGACCTCACACAGGTCTATGGTGGATGCAGCCTTGCAGCTGATCTATGACGTTCCAAATGTTTCTCAGCCAGGACAGGATCGCTCGCTCCATCAAGTAAGCGAGGTTGAGGTACTATTGACCTCGTATGACAACCGATATCTCCGAGTATTTACAGCGTTGTGTAAAATGTGTGCTCCATAAGGGCAATGTAGGAAGCCCTAACCCATCACAGGTTTGTCCTGCCATCAATGAACCTTGGGAAAGAGTCTCTATTGACCTTCAAACTTTCAGTGATCACTAAGGTAACAAACATCTATATATAATGATGGATAATTTACACGTTATGCTGAGTTGGCACTTATCACGGATAAAACCCCAAAATCTATTGCACGTCTTCAAGGAGACAATAATCTGTCGACACACCACTCTGAAATCTATTGTTACTGATAATGGGGGTGAGTTTTGTAATGCTGTGCTCAATAAGCTGTGTAATCATTACAAAATCAACAAGTCAACCATTGTAGCACACTATCCTACTAGTAATGGTTTAGTCGAGTCCTTGATGAACTTAAGAGTAACTACAGATACTAACAGTCCTACGTGTAATGAAACAATCCTTGATGTGCAGTATGCCATCAACATTGTCCTAAATGTCACAGTAGGAGTCTCACAGCATTAAGTCCTGTATGGTGTTGACAAGAGACTTCTTACGATTTGTTATACTCGCTGTCTTCACCATTTTACAATGTTGTTGAATATGTCTTGACTAAAACACATGATGCTCAACTTATCTTTGAGTGAAAGAGTCTCTTACAAGGACTACCGCTGAATGCTCTTGTCAAACCTAGTAAGGTCAAGGTTGGTTTTAAGGTAGTGTTACTGAATTTCAAAAAGTCTTCTGCAATGACTAGGATTGATAAGAAATTTGTTGGTCACTTATCGTGTTGTTGAGTATATTCATGGCAATAAGTACAAAGTTCGTGACATAGCTGCTGGTCAGTAGTCTCATTTAGATAAGAAATGGGTCAATAATGACGCTGAACAGCTTTCTGATGCATAGACAGGAGATATAGTGCTTGACCATTCTTCTGTCTCTACACCATCATGCTCTGACCTACCTGCTGACTCTGTACCATCTTCCTCTGACCAGCTGACTGACGCGACACCAGCTGACTCTTGTCATTATGCTCTTAGAGCTAAACGAGTAATATCTCAGAGATCAAAGAGTGTGATATCTATGATCACAAAATTAGATGTACCATCTCTGATTCCCGGTGTTCACTCTGATGCTTACTCTGCTTATGCCACTTCAGTCATGGGTGAGCCAGGTATACCTGAAGTATACCTGGAGAGGGTTTCGGGGGTCAACGCTCCCGCAGCCCGGTCCATGTTAATTTTAGGTGTTAATATACATGCATATGTGTAATATCCATTTTGTTTGCATATTCTGAAATCACCTTTTTACTGTGATCTTATTGCATATTATATATATATATATATATATATATATATTATATATATATATATATATATATATATATATATATATATATATATATTATATATATATATATATATAATATATATATATATTATTTTTATTATCACACTGGCCTATTCCCACCAAGGCAGGGTGGCCCGAAAAAGAAAAACTTTCACCATCATTCACTCCATCACTGTCTTGCCAGAAGGGTGCTTTACACTACAGTTTTTAAACTGCAACATTAACACCCCTCCTTCAGAGTGCAGGCACTGTACTTCCCATCTCCAGGACTCAAGTCCGGCCTGCCGGTTTCCCTGAACCCCTTCATAAATGTTACTTTGCTCACACTCCAACATCACGTCAAGTATTAAAAAACCATTTGTCTCCATTCACTCCTATCAAACACGCTCACGCACGCCTGCTGGAAGTCCAAGCCCCTCGCACACAAAACCTCCTTTACCCCCTCCCTCCAACCTTTCCTAGGCCGACCCCTACCCTGCCTTCCTTCCACTACAGACTGATACACTCTTGAAGTCACTCTGTTTCGCTCCATTCTCTCTACATGTCCGAACCACCTCAACAACCCTTCCTCAGCCCTCTGGACAACAGTTTTGGTAATCCCGCACCTCCTCCTAACTTCCAAACTACGAATTCTCTGCATTATATTCACACCACACATTGCCCTCAGACATGACATCTCCACTGCCTCCAGCCTTCTCCTCGCTGCAACATTCATCACCCATGCTTCACACCCACATAAGAGCGTTGGTAAAACTATACCCTCACACATTCCCCTCTTTGCCTCCAAGGACAAAGTTCTTTGTCTCCACAGACTCCTAAGTGCACCACTCACCCTTTTCCCCTCATCAATTCTATGATTCACCTCATCTTTCAGAGACCCATCCGCTGACACGTCCACTCCCAAATATCTGAATACATTCACCTCCTCCATACTCTCTCCCTCCAATCTGATATCCAATCTTTCATCACCTAATCTTTTTGTTATCCTCATTACCTTACTCTTTCCTGTATTCACTTTTAATTTTCTTCTTTTGCACACCCTACCAAATTCATCCACCAACCTCTGCAGCTTCTCTTCAAAATCTCCCAAGAGCACAGTGTCATCAGCAAAGAGCAACTGTGACAACTCCCACTTTATGTGTGATTCTTTATCTTTTAACTCCACGCCTCTTGCCAGGACCCTCGCATTTACTTCTCTTACAACCCCATCTATAAATATATTAAACAACCACGGTGACATCACACATCCTTGTCTAAGGCCTACTTTTACTGGGAAATAATTTCCCTCTTTCCTACATACTCTAACTTAAGCCTTACTATCCTCGTAAAAACTCTTCACTGCTTTCAGTAACCTACCTCCTACACCATACACCTGCAACATCTGCCACATTGCCCCCCTATCCACCCTGTCATACGCCTTTTCCAAATCCATAAATGCCACAAAGACCTCTTTAGCCTTATCTAAATACTGTTCACTTATATGTTTCACTGTAAACACCTGGTCCACACATCCCCTACCTTTCCTAAAGCCTCCTTGTTCATTTGCTATCCTATTCTCCGTCTTACTCTTAATTCTTTCAATAATAACTCTACCATACACTTTACCAGGTATACTCAACAGACTTATCCCCCTATAATTTTTGCACTCTCTTTTGTCCCCTTTGCCTTTATACAAAGGAACTATGCATGCTCTCTGCCAATCCCTAGGTACCTTACCCTCTTCCATACATTTATTAAATAATTGCACCAACCACTCCAAAACTATATCCCCACCTGCTTTTACCATTTCTATCTTTATCCCATCAATCCCGGCTGCCTTACCCCCTTTCATTTTACCTACTGCCTCACGAACTTCCCCAACACTCACAACTGGCTCTTCCTCACTCCTACAAGATGTTATTTCTCCTTGCCCTATACACGAAATCACAGCTTCCCTATCTTCATCAACATTTAACAATTCCTCAAAATATTCCCTCCATCTTCCCAATACCTCTAACTCTCCATTTAATTAGAGGTGCATATATATATATATATATATATATATATATATATATATATATATATATATATATATATATATATATATATATATATATATATACATATATATATATATATATATATAATATATATATATATATATATATATATATATATATATATATATATATATATATAATATATATATATATATATTATATATTATATATATATATATATATATATATATATATATATATATACCTACCAGAGACTGGTAGATGAATTTGGCAGGGTGTGCAAAAGAAGAAAATTAAAAGTGAATACAGGAAAGAGTAAGGTTATGAGGATAACAAAAAGATTAGATGATGAAAGATTGGATATCAGATTGGAGGGAGAGAGTATGGAGGAGGTGAATGTATTCAGATATTTGGGAGTGGACGTGTCAGCGGATGGGTCTATGAAAGATGAGGTGAATCATAGAATTGATGGAGGGAAAAGGGTGAGTGGTGCACGTAGGAGTCTGTGGAGACAAAGTTCTTTGTCTCCACAGACTCCTACGTGCACCACTCACCCTTTTTCCCTCATCAATTCTATGATTCACCTCATCTTTCATAGACCCATCCGCTGACACGTCCACTCCCAAATATCTGAATACATTCACCTCCTCCATACTCTCTCCCTCCAATCTGATATCCAATCTTTCATCATCTAATCTTTTTGTTATCCTCATAACCTTACTCTTTCCTGTATTCACTTTTAATTTTCTTCTTTTGCACACCCTGCCAAATTCATCTACCAGTCCTTGGAGGCAAAGAGGGGAATGTATGAGAGTATAGTTTTACCAACGCTCTTATATGGGTGTGAAGCGTGGGTGATGAATGTCGCAGCGAGGAGAAGGCTGGAGGCAGTGGAGATGTCATGTCTGAGGGCAATGTGTGGTGTGAATATAATGCAGAGAATTCGTAGTTTGGAAGTTAGGAGGAGGTACGGGATTACCAAAACTGTTGTCCAGAGGGCCGAGGAAGGGTTGTTGACGTGGTTCGGACATGTAGAGAGAATGGAGCGAAACAGAATGACTTCAAGAGTGTATCAGTCTGTAGTGGAAGGAAGGCGGGGTAGGGGTCGGCCTAGGAAAGGTTGGAGGGAGGGGGTAAAGGAGGTTTTGTGTGCGAGGGGCTTGGACTTCCAGCAGGCATGCGTGAGCGTGTTTGATAGGAGTGAATGGAGACAAATGGTTTTTAATACTTGGCGTGCTGTTGGAGTGTGAGCAAAGTAACATTTATGAAGGGGTTCAGGGAAACCGGCAGGCCGGACTTGAGTCCTGGAGATGGGAAGTACAGTGCCTGCACTCTGAAGGAGGGGTGTTAATGTTGCAGTTTAAAAACTGTAGTGTAAAGCACCCTTCTGGCAAGACAGTGATGGAGTGAATGATGGTGAAAGTTTTTCTTTTTCGGGCCACCCTGCCATGGTGGGAGTCGGCCGGTGTGATAATAAAAAAAAATTATATATATATATATATATATATATATATATATATATATATATATATATATATATATATATATATATATATATATATATATATATATATGGTATAAACCTTGGCAATAAATACCGACAAGTTGGTTTAGAAAGTCACGTAAGCAAACACTATGACATATTTATCAGAAAACGTTTCGGTCCTGGGACCTTGATCACCTCTGTATGTTAGAAGTGATCAAGGTCCCAGGACCGAAACGTTTTCTAATAAATATGTCATATATATATATATATATATATATATATATTATATATATATATATATATATATATAATCAGCCTCTGTGGCACATGTCTGCTGTAATAACCACTTCTTAGTGTCCTCCTTTTGCAGACTTATTATTTTTGTATTCCTGTGTGATAATTCATTAGCTTTCGTTAAGTGTTCAGTTGAGTTTAGTGTGTCTAATTATTCTGACTATATAATAAATACTGACTCAGCATCTCGCCTAAATAACATGCGATTCTTTATGATTTACTCATAAATTACTTTTTGAATCCTTGTTTACGCCTTTCACGAATCTGGATTCTGATAGATCGTAGTGTGTGTGCGCACAACAGGATCTTTTCTTCTTAATTCGTCTTTCATACATTTTTTTTCGTCAAGAATTCATGAAACAACTCACCATTGTCAATGAGATTCATGACTCATTCATTTATGATTGATTTGTTGTATTTATGTGTTGAGTACTTTAGAGTTACCCTACTCTCTGTCTTAAGTTTCATTGTATAACTTACTCAGTGCTAAATTTGAGTTTATAGTGCACGTTCCTTGTGTATCGAAGCTTAGCACTGTTAGTGCTGTATGAGGTCGCCCAGCCGCAGCAGAGCTGAGCTGTTAGTAGTATAAGTCATGTATTGGTACGTGTATAGTCTGTTAGTAGTAACCATCTAGAGTGGATTCAGTATTTGTCCTTATGCTATGTGTGAGACAGCAGTTGGGCATGCATCAACGCCAGCTCAGTTTGTCTAAGTTTAATCTGAGAACGGTAGTGTAAGGACGTGCGGTACTGCTGCTCTTTAATAATAATGATAATCTTTTTTTCTACAAGTACATGTACAAGGTACACAGGCCTAGCTAACATCAGTGACATACTAATATATAGAAAGCCCCTTGTTATGCAGAGCATTTCGGGCAAATTAGGTCAATTTTGTCCCAAGGATGCAACCCACACCAGTCGACTAACACTCAAGTACCCATTTAACTGATAAGTGACCTTGGGCAGCAGGTGTAAGGAAACACGTCCTAATGTTTCCACGCGTGTCGGGGACTAACCCCCGGACCTGAGTGTGTGAGCTGAGTGCGCTAGCAATCGAGCTGCCTAAATACACTTTTACAGTAAACGGCAGAACCTATTCATCTATTACTACCTTCAGTTATACTGGGTGAACCCATCTACATGCTCAGGTAGTGAATGAGAAACTTCCTACCTTCCTGACAACAGCATCAACATCATCGTAGCCGACCCACTGGTCGCCTTTTATCAGGTAAGGTCCTCCTTCCCCATTCACCTTGGTCCAGCCTTCCTGCACACGCAGTATTAATCAGTGGTTAGGGAACAAACATTTTTTTTAGAGAGTTATGAATTATGTTTAAACCTATTCCTTTAGGAACAGTTATACATTTATTTGAAAATAAGGGATGTACAGTACACTGAAAGATGTATTTCTCTTAGTTAATAAACACTGCAAGATTACTTCGAATATTAGTATTTTTGATGCAAATGCGTAAGTGAATTGAAGCCCTAATGACCAATGTTCAATCAATAGGATCAAATGTAACAAAGTACTTGATATATTTCACCAACCTTTTTATGTGCCAGACAGCACTCAAAGAAGGCCATGTTGCCAGAAGCCTTGACGTATGTACCCTCACGTCCTGCCCCTCGAGCAGCAGCTCCGGGCAAGTTGTTACTTCCTGCCAGCGTCCACGACCGTCCATAGAAAGGCACTCCCATCACTAGCTACAAACATTAAATATACTGTATTAATAATTATAAATGTCACTAATAAATGAGATGATAATGGTAACGAACTATAACAGTGACCCCCATGAGAGGGTCATGTCCCTCCCTTCCCATCCTGTGGGCGGTAGTCAAAAGATTACAAAGGCAAATAGAAGACATTGTTATTTCCTGACGAATTCACCCCCATACATTTTTTCCTTTCGTTGAGCAACAACAACAACTTCCACGGAAGTGTCTGGACATCAAGTCACTTCGTCAGAGGACTTCAGCATGAAATTCCTCTCACTCATTCCTCTTCTGCATATGCTCTTGAACTACCGTCCACAGGATGGATATGGATCGCACAATAAACTAGCTACTTCGGTGGCAAAATCTAAAATCTAATCTCCATAACTGTGAGGGATTTCTTGCAGGTTTATAGATCACTGGAATACTTTGCCCATTAAAGCATATACAGTTCTTTAATTACTGTTTGGATTATTATTATTACATTCATGAAGGAGCACTAAAACCATAGGGTCACACAGTGGCTCAGGGAAAGAAAGGCATTCAAGCTTGATTCAAGGAACTGGAACATTGATCCAATTCCGTAGATCAAGAGCTCCTCACCAACATCAAGGAACCTTCTTTGGAGGAACTGTTTGGACAAGAACTTTCCATAAGTGCCGACTCTGCGGACTTATATCTCCGTAAGTACTGACTCTAGATTTTTTTTTGCATTACTTTATGTAAAAAAATGTCCTCTTCATTTAAGAAAAAAATATATATATATATATATATATATATATATATGGTGTGCAGGGTTATGATCAATAGACCCTTGATGGTACAAGTAGTAGCAGTAGTAGTAATAGTTTCAGAATAGTTTATTAACTATGCTTCTACATTTCCGAATAATACTCTTATGTATTTATATATGTCACAGACCCGGCCGCGGGGGCGTTGACCCCCGAAACCTTCTCCAGGTATACTCCAGGTATACCCCAGATATACTCATTCATTTTTTCAAGATAGAAGTTTGAGTGAAAGAAGTGGAGGCATGAGAAAGCCATGTCATACTATCCTTATTCGAAGTATCCAGAGAGGACAGTAAACAACTACTGTACTGTAGCTGGTTCTCATACTGAGGACTAACTACAATATAAAGTCTAGGAGGGCTTTTGTTTGTTTAGATCTTTTGAAGTCTTGGAGGTCTTTTGTTTGTTTAGATCTTTTGAAGTCTTGGAGGTCTTTTGTTTGTTTAGATCTTTTGAAGTCTTGGAGGTCTTTTGTGTTTCTCATTTACACTCATTCTTTCCTTCCTTTGTGCGAATGAAGAAATCTTGAGCAAATAAACTAACGTTGATAAATGAGATGTTTGCGCAACATTTGGGCATCTTTATTCTGGAAACGTTTCGCCAGTAAGGGGCTTCTTTAGTCCAATGTAGAAAAAAGTGGAGGAGGAGTTTGAGGTAATCAGTCCCTCAGCCTGGAATCGATGTGTTAGCCTCGTCCTGACTGTTTGGCTGCAAAACCCACTGGTGGTAAAAAGTTTCCAGAATAAAGAAAATCAAATATTATACAAGTTTTCCCCATTTATCAACTTGTGGGTTTTCTAAACTTTTTTTTTACAAAGAATTTAAGCTTTTTTAATTAAACTGACGTCTCCCATTCACCAGCTATCATATGACCCATTGCCCTGAACGGCTTATCGTTTTCCCTGATTATACTATGTTAGGGGGATTAAGATGGGCTTTGGGGCTGCACCCGGGGCCACCCCCCATTGAAGGACTCCAGAGATTAAGAGAAAAATGTTCATAGTTACTGCCAAAAATTTTTAAAAATTATAGTATGTAATTACATGAAAATTGTTGATTTTATGGAATCTCCATTAACTCTCTTTTCCTTTTAAAATATCACGGGTGCCTCACTCCCGCACCCCGGGGAACAAAATATCATGGGTCCTCACAGTCCTGCACCCCGGGGGCCTAAAAAATATCAGGGGGGTGCCTCCAGTACCTGCAGCCCAGGACCTACAAAAATCATGGGTTTCCTCCATCCCTGCACCCAGGGGGACCTACAAAAATCATGGGGCCCCTTTACCTCCCCCGGGGACCTAAAAATATCCGGGGTTGCCTACAGTACCTGAGCCCAGGGACCTACAAAATTCACGGGTCCTCACAGTACGCACCCCGGGGACCTAAAAATTTTCAGGGGGTGCCTCACAGTAACTGCACCCGGGGACCTACAAAATATCCGGGCCTCAAAAGTACCTGCGCCCGGGGACCACAAAATATAAAAGGTGCTTCACAGTACCTGCACCCCGGATTACAAAATATCACTGGGTGCCTCCAGTACCTGCAGCCAGGGACCTACAAAATTTTTACTGGGTGCCTCACGTCCCTGCAGCCCGGGGACCTACAAAATATACTGGGTGCCTACATTACCTGCCCCCAGGACCTAAAAATATCACTGGGTGCCTCACGTACCTGCAGACCAGGGACCTACAAAATATCACTGGGTGCCTCCAGAAAACCTGACCCAGGGCCCCTACAAAATTTCACGGGGGCCCTCACAGTCGCACCCCAGGGACCTACAAAATATCACGGGGTCCCACAGAAACCTGCAGCCCAGGGACTAAAAAAATATCACTGGGTCCTCACAGTCCCTGCACCCCAGGGCCCACAAATATCATGGGTGCCTCCAGTACCTGCAGCCAGGGACTTAAAAAAATATCAGGGGTGCCTAAAACCCTGCACCCGGGGGCCTAAAAAATATAAAGGGTGCCTCACAGTACCTGCAGCCAGGACCAAAAAAATTCACGGGGTGCCTACAGTCCCTGCAGCCCAGGGACCTAAAAAAATATAGGGGTGCCCACAGTACCTGCAGCCCGGGACCTACAAAATATCATGGGTGCCCAAGTACCAGCCCAGGCACCTACAAAATATCACTGGGTCCCTACAGTACCTTTGCAGCCCGGGGCCCTCAAAAATATCACTGGGTGCCTCACGTACCTGTAGCCCGGGGGACCTACAAAATATCACTGGGTGCCCCCAAGTACCTGTACCCCAGGGCCCCTACAAAATATCACTGGGTGCCTCAAGTACCTGCAGCCCAGAGCCCAACAAAATATCACTGGGTCCCTCACGTACCTGCAGCCCTGGCCCTACAAAATAATTTGGGGTGCCCCCCCGTATGTAGCCCGGGGACCTACAAAATATCACTGGGGCCCTCAGAGTCCTGTACCTTGGACCTACAAAATATCATTTTGGGTGCCTCCAGTACCTGTAGCCCGGGGTCCAAAAAAAAATTTTCACGGGGGGGCCCCATAGTACCTTAGCCCAGGGCCTAAAAATATCACGGGGTGCCTCACGTACCTGTGCCTAGGGACCTACAAAATATCAGGGGTGCCTCACAGTCCCTGTAGCCCAGGGACCCAAAAAATCTTAATACGGCTTGACATAAACTAAGTTTCTGTTTCCACCTTGTGAGCAGGAGCACCTTTCTTAGCAGTAGTTGAAGCAAAGTCACACACAGCTGGGGTTTGTCCCGTCCAGATAGAGAGGAGCTGATGGGCCCGTTCTCCCAGGAGCCGTGGAAATCATAACTCATTATGTTAATCGTAGAAGACAATTTAAAATTTGGCTCAACACTGCCACCATTAGGAGGGACGTAAGTTCCCCGTCTTCTAATAAAAATTGTGTTACAGTGTTGCAGAGGAACATTAAATGGGTTTAAAAAAAAAAGTCGGGGATTTTTTTACCATTTTAAGTTCATTCAAAACTGTTCATTTTTTCCCTTAAAATTACCTTGCCTAATTTTATCACATTTGCCTTGTCTGCTTTGTAAGGTGAAGCCAGGATCTTTCTTTAAATTTATGGATAACTTAACAAATCTGAAAGTCTGATCAAACTCGACCCTGTAACACAATTAACATCAAAGATTTGTTAAGTTATACCATGAATTCAGGAAAGATCCTGGACGTCACCTTACGAAAGCTGACAAGGCAAATGTGATAGTATTATAACAAGGTAGATTGTAATGGAAAATGAACTTTTTATTAGAAACGGGGGGAAATTAGTAACCTTTTTAAAGACCAAAAAAACATTTAAGGACATTAATTGTGAGCGATGTGAAAGTAGGAAGCAAATGAGATGAATGTTTTATAATTGATAATTGGACAATTTCAAGTTAATAATGTAGAGTGTAAATATTCAAATCATAAAGGGATGAGTGTGATATCTTTGTTTTATGTTAAAATGCTATATTATGCTATCACTGTACTTCACACCTCCACAACACTGTTGACCATCATCACTGTACTTCACACCTCCACAACACTGTTGACCATCATCACTGTACTTCACACCTCCACAACACTGTTGACCACCATCACTGTACTTTACACCTCCCCCAACACTGTTTACCACATCACTGACTTTACACCGCCACAACACTGTTGACCACCATCACTGTACTTCATACCTCCACAACACTGTTGACCACCATCACTGTACTTCACACCTCCACAACACTGTTGACCACCATCACTGTACTTCACACCTCCACAACACTGTTGACCATCACTGTACTTCACACCTCCACAACACTGTTGACCATCACTGTACTTCACACCTCCACAACACTGTTGACCACCATCACTGTACTTCACACCTCCACAACACTGTTGACCATCACTGTACTTCCACCTCCCCAAAAACTGTTGAAACCCTCACTGTACTCACACCTCCCAAAAAACGTTTACCACCTCACTGTACTTTCACCCTCCACAAAACTGTACCATCATCCTGTACTTCACACCTCCACAACACTGTTGACCATCACTGTACTTCACACCGCCACAACACTGTTGACCATCATCACTGTACTTCACACCTCCACAACACTGTTGACCACCATCACTGTACTTCACCCCCACAAAACTGTTGACCATCACCTGTACTTCACCCCCAAACACTGTTTAACCCCATCACGTACTTCACACATCCACAACACTTTGGGACCATCATCACTGTACTTCCACCGCCACAAAAACTGTTTTACCATCACACTGTACTTCACACCTCCACACACGTTGAACCCCACACGTACTTTACCATCCCAACCTGTTGACCAACATCACTGTACTCACCACCTCCACAACACTGTTGACCATATCCGTACTTCCACCGCCCCAACACTGTGACCATCTTTACTGTACTTCACACCCCACAAAACTGTTGAATCATGTCTTCACACCGCCACAACACGTTGAACCCTCATCACTGTACTTAAAACCTCCAAACACTGTTACCATCTTTATGTACTTCACACGCCACAACCTGTTGACCTCATCCTGTACTTCAACCTCCCCAACCTGTTGCCCACACTGTACTTTTACACCCCCACAACACTTTACCACATCACTGTACTTCACCCCCACAAACATGTTTACCCTCATCCATGTACCCCACACCGCCCAACATGTTGACCTCATCACTGTACTTCACACCGCCACAACACTGTTACCATCACTGTACTTCACCCTCCACAAAAGTTGCCACCATCACGTACTTCACACCCCCACAACACTGTTGACCACTCACTGTATTCACACCGCCCCAAACTGTTTACCATCCGTACTTCCACACCGGGGCCCCAACACTTTGACCATCACTGTACTTTACAAACCCCCACAACACTGTTACCATATCACTGTAAATTCACACCGCCACAAAACGTTGACCACACTGTACTCACACCCCACAACACTGTTGACCATCACGTACTTCAACCCCCACAACACTTTGACCATCATCACTTACTTCACACCGCCACAAAACTGTTTACCATCATGTACTTTACACCGCCACAAAAACTGTTACCACCATCCTGTACTTTACACCTCCACAACACGTTTACCATCACTGTCTTCACACCTCCACAACACTGTTTAAACCATCACTGTACTTCACACCCCACAACCTGTTGACCCTCCTGTACTTTACACCCCACAACACTGTTGACCATTCATGACTTCAAAACCCTCCCCCAACACTGTTGCCACCATCACTGACTTAAAAACCTCCACAACACTGTTGCCTCACTGTAATTCAACCTCCACAACACTGTTGACCCATGACTTTAACCCCCCCCCAACACTGTTAACCCTCACTGACTTCACACCTCCACAACCTTTGACCACCCCACTGTACTTTACACCCCACAACATTTGACCTCACCCCGTACTTCACACCCCCACAACACTGTTGACCATCACTGTAATTTTACAAAATCCACAACACTGTTGACCATCACGTACTTTAACCTCCACAACACGTTGACCACCATCACTGTACTTCACACCTCCACAAACCCGTTTTTCCATCACTGTACTTCACACCTCCACAACATGTTTTACCACCTACTTACTTTACACCTCCACAACACTGTTTACGACATCACGTACTTCACACACCACAACACTTTTGGGCCATCACTGTACTTCAAAAACCCCACAACACGTTGACCATATTTACTGTACTTCCACCTCCACAAACCCCGTTGCCTCACTTCTTCACACCTCCCCAACACGTTGACCCCCATCACTGTACTTTAAACCCCCACAACCGTTGACCTCATCCTGTACTTCACACCCCCCAACATGTTGCCACCATCACTGTACTTCACACCTCCACAACACGTTGACCCTCACTGTACTTTACCCTCCACAACACTGCTGCCCACCCCACTGTACTTCACCCTCCACAACACTGTTGACCACTCCTGTACTTTCACCTCCACCAAAAATGTTGAAACCACCATAGGGGACTTTACACCCCCCACAACACGTTTACCATCACTTTTTACACCTCCACAACACTGCTGCCCACCATCATGTACTTTACACCTCCACAACACTGTTGACCACACACGTATTTAAAACCCCCCACAACACTGTTGACCCCATCACTTTCTTCACACCCCCCACAACATGTTGACCATCATCCTGAAATTCACACCCCACAACACGTTGACCATCATCCTGTACTTTACACCTCCCCCAACACTGTTGACCCCCTCACGTACTTCACACCTCCACAAAAGTTACCAACACTGTACTTTCACACCTCCACAACACTGTTGACCACCATCACTGTACTTCACACCTCCACAACACTGTTGACCATCACTGTACTTCACACCTCCACAACACTGTTGCCCACCATCACTGTACTTCACACCGCCACAACACTGTTGACCACCATCACTGTACTTCACACCTCCACCATCACTGTACTTCACACCTCCACAACACTGCTGACCCCATCATGTATCACACCTCCCAAAAAATGTTGACCACCATCACGCTTCACAAACCCCCACCATACTTACTTCCCCACCTCCACAACATGCTGCCCACCATCACTGTAAAATTTCACACCTCCCAACACTGTTTACCCCTAATGTATTTACACCTCCACAACACTGCGCCCACCACACTGTACTTCACACCCCCCCACAAAAAACTGTTGACCACCATCACGTACTTCACACCTTTCCCCCAACACTGTACTTTTTCCCCCCCACAACCGCTGACCACCACACTGTACTTTTCACCTCCACAAAAACTGTTTACCCTCACTGAATTCACACCGGGCCCCAAACTGTTGACCATCACTGTACTTTACACCCCACAACATGTTTTACCACCATCACGTACTTCACACCGCCACAACACTGTTTTCCACCTCCTGTACTTCACACCTCCACAACACTGTTGACCCTCATGTACTTTCCCCCTCCACAACATGTTGACCATCATGTACTTTAAACCCCACAACACTGTTCCACCATCACTGTACTTCACCCGCCACAACACTGTTGACCACCACACTGACTTAAAAACCCCAAAACACTGTTTACCACCACACTGTACTCACACCTCCACAACACTGTTGACCACTTCCCTGTACTTTATGCCTCCCAACCTTTGACCACCATCACTGTACTTCACCCTCCACAACACGTTGACCACCCTCATGACTTCACACCGTTACAACACGTTGACACCCCCCACCGTACTTTACACCCCCACACACTGTTGACCACCTCACTGTACTTCACACCTCCAAACACGTTGACCACATCACTGTACTTCACACCTCCCAACACTGTTACCATCACACTTTAACCTCCACAAAACTGTTGACCATCATCACTGTACTTCACCTCCACAAAATAAAAACAAAATGTTGACCATCACTGTACTTTAAACCTCCACAACCTTTGACCCCCATCACTGTACTTACCCCCACAAAAAGTTGACCACCATCACTGTACTTCACACCCCACAACACGTTAAAAATTTTTTTTTTTTTTTTTTGTTGACCACACACGTACTTTAACCTCCCCAAAAACGTTTTACCACCATCACTGACTTCACACCTCCACAACACGGGTTCCACCTCACTTAAATTCACCCCCCCACAAAACTGTTTACCATCACTGTACTTCAACCCCCCAACACTGTTACCACCACACGTACTTCCAAACCCCCCAAAACTGTTTAACCCCCCACTGTCTTCACACCCCACAAAACTGTTGACCATCACTGTACTTCACACCTCCACAACACTGTTGACCACCATCACTGTACTTCACACCTCCACAACACTGTTGACCACCATCACTGTACTTCACACCTCCACAACACTGTTGACCACCATCACTGTACTTTACACCTCCACAACACTGTTGACCACCATCACTGTACTTCACACCTCCACAACACTGTTGACCACCATCACTGTACTTCACACCTCCACAACACTGTTGACCATCACTGTACTTTACACCCCAAAAACAAATGTGCCACACGTACTTCACACCGCCACCCCACTGTTGACCATCACTGTACTTCACACCCCACAACACGTTGACCCATCACGTACTTCACACCCCACAACATTTGCCCATCACTGTATTCACACCCACAACACGTTGACCCCCATCACTGACTTTCCCCCTCCACAACACTGTTGACCATCACACTTTACAAACCCAAAAATGTTTACCATCACTGACTTCACACCTCCCCAACCTGTTGACCATTTACGTACTTCACACCCCCACAAACTGTTGACCCCCTCACTGTACTTCACACCTCCACAACACTGTTGAAACCCTCACTGACTTTCCACCCCCCAAAAACCTGTTGACCATCACTGACTTACACTCCACAACACTGTTTACCATCATGTACTTTACACTCCACAACACTTGAACCATCACTGTACTTTACACCCCCACAACCTGTTGACCCATCACTGTACTTTTTCACCCCCAACATGTGACCACCATCACTGTACTTCACACCCCACCCCAAAATTCCCCTGTTTGGGCCACCATCACTGCTTCACCCTCCACAACATGTTTACCACACTTACTTAACCCCACACCTTTCCACCATCACGTACTTCCACCTCCACAACACGGGTTTACCATCACTGTCTTCACACCTCCACAACACTGTTGACCATCTGTACTTTAACCCTTCCCCCAACACTGTTGACCACCCCTCACGTACTTACACCCCACAACCGTTGACCATCACTTTCTTTTTCACCTCCACAACCCGTTGAAAACCCCACTGTACTTACACCTCCACAACACTTTTTACCATCATGTACTTCACACCTCCACAACACGTGCCAACCATCACGTACTTTACACCTCCACAAAACTGTGCCCCCCAATCACTGACTTACACCCCCCACAAAAAACTGTGCCCCCCCTCACTGTACTTCACACCTCCACAACACTGCTGCCCACCATCCTGTATTCACACCTCCACAACATGCGCCCACCATCACTGTAACCCCCAAAAAGGCCCCCCACACTATCCAACACTCTCCACAACCCCCCCACCCCCCAAACTTTCCCCCTACTGACACAGCCACAAAACTGTCCCACCCCACTGCTTTTTCCCCCCTCCCAACCGTCCCACCCCCATTCACACCCCCCGCCTTTTCCCCACCACACTGTACTTCCACCTCCACAAAAGCTGCCCACCTCACACCTTTTACACCTCCACAACACTGCCGCCCACCACACTGTAATTCACACCGCCACAAACAGTTGACCACCATCACTGTATTACAAAACCCCCACAACACTGGCCCACCATCACTGTACTTACACCCCACAACCGCCCCACCACACTGTCTTCCCACCTTCCACGTCACTGCCCCCCACCATCACAGTACTTTACACCTCCACAAAACTGCTGCCCCCATCACTGTACTTCACACCCCCCAATCACGCCGCCCCACCATCACTGTCTTACACCGCCACAACACTGTTGACCCCACACGTTACTTTACACCACAACATGCTGCCCACTCACTGTATTTTCACCCCACAACACTGTTGACCACCCTCACTGACTTTTTACACTCCCCCAACACTGTTTTCCACCATCACTGTCTTCACACCCCCACAACACTGCTGCCCACCATCACTGTATTCCCCCCCAAAAACCCCTTTCCACACACTGACTTTCCCCGCCCCATTTCCCCCATCACTGTACTTCACACCCCCACAACCTGTGCCCCCCATCACTGTACTTCACACCCCACAACCCTGTTTCCCCACCATCACTGTACTTTCACACCGCCCAACAGTTCCCCATCACTGTATTCACACCCCACAAACACGTTTTTCCACCACACTGTACTTCACACCGCCACAAAACGCTTGCCCCCCACACTGTACTTACACCCCACAAAAAACTGTTGACCACCATCACTGACTTTTACACCCCACACACGGCCCACCTCACGTACTTCACACCCCCAAAACACGCCGCCCAACCCCTCACGTCTTTTACACCCCCAACCTGGCCACCATCCCCTGAATTCCATAACAACACTTCTTTTTCAAATGTATTTTAAGCACAACAAAACCCCGAAAAAATTGAGACATATGAATTCACCGGCACAACACCTGAATATTTTTGGTATTAATTTCCAAATGTTTGACCCCTTCATGTATTCCCAAATAACCTTTTGGCCACACACCACCACACACACCCCAAAAAACACCCCCCACCCCCTTTTAAACTCAAAATTGCCACCAATCACAGTTTGAATTTTTGGAGTCTGCTGGGAAAATTTTTCCCCCAAAACCAGTTAACAAATTATGGGAAAGATGTATTAAATTAAACTTAAAAAGGAAAAAAGTTGTGAAAAAGTTTTTTCAAAAATTTTACATTTGGGAAATTTCCCTCTGGGGGGGAAAAAAAAATTTTTTTTAATTATTTTTAACCCCGCTTTTGGGGTTTTTAAGCACTCTATTAAACCAAAATTTAAAGTTACCCAAAGTTTATGCCTCATTTACGCTACCTGAGAGTTTATTCCAGTCATCTATAACTCTATTATCAAACTAGTACGTCTCTATATCTTTGTATAATCTTTCTAAATCTAAATTTATTCAACTTGAATCCATTACAGTGAGTCGTCTCTTGGTTACATACTGTCGACATGCTATTTGTATCCCCTTTATTTATTCCTGGTTTTTTTTTTTATGTTTATGTTATGTTGAAGAGACTTGCTAATGGTTTGTCGAGGTCTTCCTTACATTACTTTTGAACCCCTGAAAACAACTCACCAGAACCCGGTGACTTGACGTCAGTCTATCTGGTTGTCTGAGGGGCCACGTCGCTAGTGACTTCGATATTACGTAATTACTTGTCGTTCTGACCAGTGTAATTACTAGATCCTCTTCCTTTCTGTTTTTACATAAGAGGAACTTATGTAAAAACAGGAAGTGTTGATAACTTTACACATTTCTTTGACACTAATAGTAAGCTGACCTGAGTTATTGAGTGCACCTATCCTTTTTTAAATCTTATTACTATATGAACTTAGATTAAGCTGCAATAAACAACTGTCAATGAATAAACAGAAAGAATAGATAAAATAATACTAGCCTATAATGTTTTTAAAATCCTTGAAAAAAATATATGGTGTAGTTACCTGCTTTATCGGTATGGTTCCCTTCATAGCCCGGGTACTCCCAGTCCAGGTCAAGACCATCGAAGCCATGATGCAGGAGCAACTTGACGACCTCCTTCACAAACTTGTGTCGGTGGCCAGGATGAGCTACCAACTCTGAGTACTTGTTACTGCGAGAGTCATTCCAGCCACCCAGACCCAGCAACACCTGCAATAACACCCAACTCTGAGTACTTGTTACTGCGAGTCATTCCAGCCACCCAGACCCTGCAATAACACCCAGCTCTGAGTACTTGTTACTGCGAGAGTCATTCCAGCCACCCAGACCCAGCAACACCTGCAATAACACCCAGCTCTGAGTACTTGTTACTGCGAGAGTCATTCCAGCCACCCAGACCCAGCAACACCTGCAGCAACACCTTCAACAACACCCAGCTCTGCTAGCACGTGCTGGCTTTCAAAGGGCAAAAATTAAATAAATTTTACAACAGTAAAACAATTCAAATCACATAGGAAGGTAAGAACTGATCCTTCATTCTCTTAACTGAATGGAAACAAATTGGATTCAGTGTAGCAGTGGTTGTTTAAACAGGGAGAGAAGACACTGGTGAGCCAGTGATTGCTCTCTCTCATACCCAGCATCAGTATCTCAGTAATTAACCACAGGTAAACAGCACCACGGTAATGTGTACCTCTATTTTCCAAAGTATATGCATTTTAAATCAAGAACTTTGCAAAATAATTAAATACGTACGTATAACTTATCAAAACAATAATTAAAATACTTTCGAAACTTTTTTGCACATTATTCAGGGGTCGCCTACATTCTGGTATTCTTCAAGCAGGTACTTACCTTCTGGTATTCTTCAAGCAGGTACTCACATTCTGGTATTCTTCAAGCAGGTACTTACCTTCTGGTATTCTTCAAGCAGGTACTCACATTCTGGTATTCTTCAAGCAGGTACTTACCTTTTTGGTATTCTTCAAGCAGGTACTCACATTCTGGTATTCTTCAAGCAGGTACTTACCTTCTGGTATTCTTCAAGCAGGTACTCACATTCTGGTATTCTTCAAGCAGGTACTCACATTCTGGTATTCTTCAAGCAGGTACTCACCTTCTGGTATTCTTCAAGCAGGTACTCACCTTCTGGTATTCTTCAAGCAGGTACTCACCTTCTGGTATTCTTCAAGCAGGTACTCACCTTCTGGTATTCTTCAAGCAGGTACTCACCTTCTGGTATTCTTCAAGCAGGTACTCACCTTCTGGTATTCTTCAAGCAGGTACTCACCTTCTGGTATTCTTCAAGCAGGTACTCACATTCTGGTATTCTTCAAGCAGGTACTCACATTCTGGTATTCTTCAAGCAGGTACTCACCTTCTGGTATTCTTCAAGCAGGTACTCACCTTCTGGTATTCTTCAAGCAGGTACTCACCTTCTGGTATTCTTCAAGCAGGTACTCACCTTCTGGTATTCTTCAAGCAGGTACTCACATTCTGGTATTCTTCAAGCAGGTACTCACATTCTGGTATTCTTCAAGCAGGTAACCACCTTCTGGTATTCTTCAAGCAGGTACTCACCTTCTGGTATTCTTCAAGCAGGTACTCACCTTCTGGTATTCTTCAAGCAGGTACTCACATTCTGGTATTCTTCAAGCAGGTATTTCACATTCTGGTATTCTTCAAGCAGGTACTCACATTCTGGTATTCTTCAAGCAGGTACTCACATTCTGGTATTCTTCAAGCAGGTACTCACATTCTGGTATTCTTCAAGCGGGTACTTACCTTCTGGTATTCTTCAAGCAGGTACTACACCTTCTGGTATTCTTCAAGCAGGTACTCACCTTCTGGTATTCTTAAAGCAGGTACTCACATTCTGGTATTCTTCAAGCAGGTACTCACATTCTGGTATTCTTCAAGCAGGTACTCACCTTCTGGTATTCTTCAAGCAGGTACTCACCTTCTGGTATTCTTCAAGCAGGTACTCACATTCTGGTATTCTTCAAGCAGGTACTCAACATTCTGGTATTCTTCAAGCAGGTATTTTACCTTCTGGTATTCTTCAAGCAGGTACTCACCTTCTGGTATTCTTCAAGCAGGTACTCACCTTCTGGTATTCTTCAAGCAGGTACTCACCTTCTGGTATTCTTCAAGCAGGTACTCATATTTTGGTATTCTTCAAGCAGGTACTCACCTTCTGGTATTCTTCAAGCAGGTACTCACATTTTGGTATTCTTCAAGCAGGTACTTACCTTCTGGTATTCTTCAAGCAGGTACTCACCTTCTGGTATTCTTCAAGCAGGTACTCGCATTTTGGTATTCTTCAAGCAGGTACTCACATTCTGGTATTCTTCAAGCAGGTACTCACATTCTGGTATTCTTCAAGCAGGTACTCACATTCTGGTATTCTTCAAGCAGGTACTCACATTCTGGTATTCTTCAAGCAGGTACTCACATTTTGGTATTCTTCAAGCAGGTACTCACCTCTGGTATTCTTCAAGCAGGTACTCACATTCTGGTATTCTTCAAGCAGGTACTCACATTCTGGTATTCTTCAAGCAGGTACTCACCTTCTGGTATTCTTCAAGCAGGTACTCACATTCTGGTATTCTTCAAGCAGGTACTCACATTCTGGTATTCTTCAAGCGGGTACTCACATTCTGGTATTCTTCAAGCAGGTACTCACATTCTGGTATTCTTCAAGCAGGTACTCACCTTCTGGTATTCTTCAAGCAGGTACTCACATTCTGGTATTCTTCAAGCAGGTACTCACTTTTTTGGTATTCTTCAAGCAGGTACTCCCCTTCTGGTATTCTTCAAGCAGGTACTCACATTCTGGTATTCTTCAAGCAGGTACTCACATTCTGGTATTCTTCAAGCAGGTACTCACCTTCTGGTATTCTTCAAGCAGGTACTCACATTCTGGTATTCTTCAAGCAGGTACTCACATTCTGGTATTCTTCAAGCAGGTACTCACATTCTGGTATTCTTCAAGCAGGTACTCACATTCTGGTATTCTTCAAGCAGGTACTCACCTTCTGGTATTCTTCAAGCAGGTACTCACATTCTGGTATTCTTCAAGCAGGTACTCACATTCTGGTATTCTTCAAGCAGGTACTCACATTCTGGTATTCTTCAAGCAGGTACTCACATTCTGGTATTCTTCAAGCAGGTACTCACCTTCTGGTATTCTTCAAGCAGGTACTCACATTCTGGTATTCTTCAAGCAGGTACTCACATTTTGGTATTCTTCAAGCAGGTACTCACCTTCTGGTATTCTTCAAGCAGGTACTCACATTCTGGTATTCTTCAAGCAGGTACTCACATTCTGGTATTCTTCAAGCAGGTACTCATATTTTGGTATTCTTCAAGCAGGTACTCACATTCTGGTATTCTTCAAGCAGGTACTCACATTCTGGTATTCTTCAAGCAGGTACTCACATCGGGTATTCTTCAAGCAGGTACTCACATTTGGTATTCTTCAAGCAGGTACTCACATTCTGGTATCTTCAAGCAGGTACTCACATTCTGGTATTCTTCAAGCAGGTACTCACATTCTGGTATTCTTCAAGCAGGTACTCACATTCTGGTATTCTTCAAGCAGGTACTTACCACATTCTGGTATTCTTCAAGCAGGTACTCACATTCTGGTATCTTCAAGCAGGTACTAACCTTCTGGTATTCTTCAAGCAGGTACTCACTTTTGGTATTCTTCAAGCAGGTACTCAGATTCTGGTATTCTTCAAGCAGGTACTCACATTCTGGTATTCTTCAAGCAGGTACTCACATTCTGGTATCTTCAAGCAGGTACTCACATTCTGGTATTCTTCAAGCAGGTACTCACATTTTGGTATCTTCAAGCAGGTACTCACCTTCTGGTATTCTTCAAGCAGGTACTCACATTCTGGTATTCTTCAAGCAGGTACTCACATTCTGGTATTCTTCAAGCAGGTTATCACCTTCTGGTATTCTTCAAGCAGGTACTCACATTCTGGTATTCTTCAAGCAGGTACTCACATTCTGGTATTCTTCAAGCAGGTACTCACATTCTGGTATTCTTCAAGCAGGTACTTACATTCTGGTATTCTTCAAGCAGGTACTCACCTTCTGGTATTCTTCAAGCAGGTACTCACATTCTGGTATTCTTCAAGCAGGTACTCACATTTTGGTATTCTTCAAGCAGGCACTCACCTTCTGGTATTCTTCAAGCAGGTACTCACATTCTGGTATTCTTCAAGCAGGTACTCACATTCTGGTATTCTTCAAGCAGGTACTCACCTTCTGGTATTCTTCAAGCAGGTACTCACATTCTGGTATTCTTCAAGCAGGTACTCACATTCTGGTATTCTTCAAGCAGGTACTCACATTCTGGTATTCTTCAAGCAGGTACTCACATTCTGGTATTCTTCAAGCAGGTACTCACATTCTGGTATTCTTCAAGCAGGTACTCACATTCTGGTATTCTTCAAGCAGGTACTCACATTCTGGTATTCTTCAAGCAGGTACTCACATTCTGGTATTCTTCAAGCAGGTACTAAACAATTCTGGTATTCTTCAAGCAGGTACTCACATTCTGGTATTCTTCAGCAGGTACTACACATTCTGGTATTCTTCAAGCAGGTACTCACCTTCTGGTATTCTTCAAGCAGGTACTCACCTTCTGGTATTCTTCAAGCAGGTACTCACCTTCTGGTATTCTTCAAGCAGGTACTCACCTTCTGGTATTCTTCAAGCAGGTACTCACCTTTGGTATTCTTCAAGCAGGTACTCACCTTCTGGTATTCTTCAAGCAGGTACTCACCTTCTGGTATTCTTCAAGCAGGTACTCACATTCTGGTATTCTTCAAGCAGGTACTCACATTCTGGTATTCTTCAAGCAGGTACTCACCTTCTGGTATTCTTCAAGCAGGTACTCACCTTCTGGTATTCTTCAAGCAGGTACTCACCTTCTGGTATTCTTCAAGCAGGTACTCACCTTCTGGTATTCTTCAAGCAGGTACTCACATTCTGGTATTCTTCAAGCAGGTACTCACATTCTGGTTTTCTTCAAGCAGGTACTCACCTTCTGGTATTCTTCAAGCAGGTACTCACCTTCTGGTATTCTTCAAGCAGGTACTCACCTTCTGGTATTCTTCAAGCAGGTACTCACATTCTGGTATTCTTCAAGCAGGTACTCACATTCTGGTATTCTTCAAGCAGGTACTCACCTTCTGGTATTCTTCAAGCAGGTACTCACATTCTGGTATTCTTCAAGCAGGTACTCACATTCTGGTATTCTTCAAGCAGGTACTTACCTTCTGGTATTCTTCAAGCAGGTACTCACCTTCTGGTATTCTTCAAGCAGGTACTCACCTTCTGGTATTCTTCAAGCAGGTACTCACATTCTGGTATTCTTCAAGCAGGTACTAAACATTCTGGTATTCTTCAAGCAGGTACTCACCTTCTGGTATTCTTAAAGCAGGTACTCACCTTCTGGTATTCTTCAAGCAGGTACTCACATTCTGGTATTCTTCAAGCAGGTACTCACATTCTGGTATTCTTCAAGCAGGTACTTACCTTCTGGTATTCTTCAAGCAGGTACTCACCTTCTGGTATTCTTCAAGCAGGTACTCACCTTCTGGTATTCTTCAAGCAGGTACTCACCTTCTGGTATTCTTCAAGCAGGTACTCATATTTTGGTATTCTTCAAGCAGGTACTCACCTTCTGGTATTCTTCAAGCAGGTACTCACATTTTGGTATTCTTCAAGCAGGTACTTACCTTCTGGTATTCTTCAAGCAGGTACTCACCTTCTGGTATTCTTCAAGCAGGTACTCGCATTTTGGTATTCTTCAAGCAGGTACTCACATTCTGGTATTCTTCAAGCAGGTACTCACATTCTGGTATTCTTCAAGCAGGTACTCCATTCTGGTATTCTTCAAGCAGGTACTCACATTTTGGTATTCTTCTTCAAGCAGGTACTCACCTTCTGGTATTCTTCAAGCAGGTACTCACATTCTGGTATTCTTCAAGCAGGTACTCACATTCTGGTATTCTTCAAGCAGGTACTCACCTTCTGGTATTCTTCAAGCAGGTACTCACATTCTGGTATTCTTCAAGCAGGTACTCACATTCTGGTATTCTCAAGCAGGTAACTCACATTCTGGTATTCTTCAAGCAGGTACTCACATTCTGGTATTCTTCAAGCAGGTACTCACCTTCTGGTATTCTTCAAGCAGGTACTCACATTCTGGTATTCTTCAAGCAGGTACTCACATTTTGGTATTCTTCAAGCAGGTACTCACCTTCTGGTATTCTTCAAGCAGGTACTCACATTCTGGTATTCTTCAAGCAGGTACTCACATTCTGGTATTCTTCAAGCAGGTACTCACCTTCTGGTATTCTTCAAGCAGGTACTCACATTCTGGTATTCTTCAAGCAGGTACTCACATTCTGGTATTCTTCAAGCAGGTACTCACATTCTGGTATTCTTCAAGCAGGTACTCACATTCTGGTATTCTTCAAGCAGGTACTCACCTTCTGGTATTCTTCAAGCAGGTACTCACATTCTGGTATTCTTCAAGCAGGTACTCACATTCTGGTATTCTTCAAGCAGGTACTCACATTCTGGTATTCTTCAAGCAGGTACTCACATTCTGGTATTCTTCAAGCAGTACTCACCTTCTGGTATTCTTCAAGCAGGTACTCACATTCTGGTATTCTTCAAGCAGGTACTCACATTTTGGTATTCTTCAAGCAGGTACTCACCTTCTGGTATTCTTCAAGCAGGTACTCACATTCTGGTATTCTTCAAGCAGGTACTCATATTTTGGTATTCTTCAAGCAGGTACTCACATTCTGGTATTCTTCAAGCAGGTACTCACATTCTGGTATTCTTCAAGCAGGTACTCACATTCTGGTATTCTTCAAGCAGGTACTCACATTTTGGTATTCTTCAAGCAGGTACTCACTTCTGGTATTCTTCAAGCAGGTACTCACATTCTGGTATTCTTCAAGCAGGTACTCACATTCTGGTATTCTTCAAGCAGGTACTCACATTCTGGTATTCTTCAAGCAGGTACTCACATTCTGGTATTCTTCAAGCAGGTACTCACATTCTGGTATTCTTCAAGCAGGTACTCACCTTCTGGTATTCTTCAAGCAGGTACTCACATTTTGGTATTCTTCAAGCAGGTACTCACATTCTGGTATTCTTCAAGCAGGTACTCACATTCTGGTATTCTTCAAGCAGGTACTCACATTCTGGTATTCTTCAAGCAGGTACTCACATTCTGGTATTCTTCAAGCAGGTACTCACATTTTGGTATTCTTCAAGCAGGTACTCACCTTCTGGTATTCTTCAAGCAGGTACTCACATTCTGGTATTCTTCAAGCAGGTACTCACATTCTGGTATTCTTCAAGCAGGTACTCACCTTCTGGTATTCTTCAAGCAGGTACTCACATTCTGGTATTCTTCAAGCAGGTACTCACATTCTGGTATTCTTCAAGCAGGTACTCACATTCTGGTATTCTTCAAGCAGGTACTTACATTCTGGTATTCTTCAAGCAGGTACTCACCTTCTGGTATTCTTCAAGCAGGTACTCACATTCTGGTATTCTCAAGCAGGTACTCAAAATTTTGGTATTCTTCAAGCAGGCACTCACCTTCTGGTATTCTTCAAGCAGGTACTCACATTCTGGTATTCTTCAAGCAGGTACTCACATTCTGGTATTCTTCAAGCAGGTACTCACCTTCTGGTATTCTTCAAGCAGGTACTCACATTCTGGTATTCTTCAAGCAGGTACTCACATTCTGGTTTATTCTTCAAGCAGGTACTCACATTCTGGTATTCTTCAAGCAGGTACTCACATTCTGGTATTCTTCAAGCAGGTACTCACATTCTGGTATTCTTCAAGCAGGTACTCACATTCTGGTATTCTTCAAGCAGGTACTCACATTCTGGTATTCTTCAAGCAGGTACTCACATTCTGGTATTCTTCAAGCAGGTACTCACATTCTGGTATTCTTCAAGCAGGTACTCACATTCTGTATTCTTCAAGCAGGGTACTCACCTTCTGGTATTCTTCAAGCAGGTACTCACCTTCTGGTATTCTTCAAGTAGGTACTCACCTTCTGGTATTCTTCAAGCAGGTACTCACATTCTGGTATTCTTCAAGCAGGTACTCACCTTCTGGTATTCTTCAAGCAGGTACTCACCTTCTGGTATTCTTCAAGCAGGTACTCACATTCTGGTATTCTTCAAGCAGGGACTCACATTCTGGTATTCTTCAAGCAGGTACTCACATTCTGGTATTCTTCAAGCAGGTACTCACATTCTGGTATTCTTCAAGCAGGTACTTACCTTCTGGTATTCTTCAAGCAGGTACTCACCTTCTGGTATTCTTCAAGCAGGTACTCACATTCTGGTATTCTTCAAGCAGGTACTCACATTCTGGTATTCTTCAAGCAGGGACTCACATTCTGGTATTCTTCAAGCAGGTACTCACATTCTGGTATTCTTCAAGCAGGTACTCACATTCTGGTATTCTTCAAGCAGGTACTTACCTTCTGGTATTCTTCAAGCAGGTACTCACCTTCTGGTATTCTTCAAGCAGGTACTCACATTCTGGTATTCTTCAAGCAGGTACTCGCATTCTGGTATTCTTCAAGCAGGTACTCACATTCTGGTATTCTTCAAGCAGGTACTTACCTTCTGGTATTCTTCAAGCAGGTACTCGCATTCTGGTATTCTTCAAGCAGGTACTCACCTTCTGGTATTCTTCAAGCAGGTACTCACCTTCATTCCGGGATTCTTCTTCTTAAGCTGGACAAACTTGTCATAGTTCTTGAGGTCGTTGTCAAGCCAAGAGTCGTGTTGTTTGGCCAAGAGGGTCTTGGGGTCGAGGATAGCAAAGGCATACACCAGGTGGGTACACAGCTCCACTGGGATGTCTTCCACTGTGTACTTGGCCACACCTGCAAAAACAATATCCAGGTGTTTGTTTACATTTTACTTAGCGCTCTCCTTCATTTTTATTAGACATGTTCCATATATGTTATCAACACTTGTGTCAAGGATATGAAATGGTTATAATCAGAACGATAATTTTTGAAGTGGTGGAGAGGTAAGCCAGTGGAAGGCCTCGGTAAGATGACCAAGCTCAAGTGGTGGGTCATCATATGACTAAGACCCGCGTTAGGAAACATTTGTCCTGTTTCCTGACAAAACTAATCTGAACTCCTGCAAGACAAGCTTATTGTAACGTCATTACTCTCCCATATAACATGCTACTTGCAAGTAACGTCAACAACACTCCCTGGTACACATGTTACATGCATGCTTATCACATGTGATAATAAGTATAGACTGAAAATATAATTTTGGATTTTAAATTAGAAAGCAACCTCCAAGTGCTGCCGTACATGTTCCCTGTAAGTAACTCCGTAAACGATATGTTCCCTGTAAGTAACTCCGTAAACGACATGTTCCCTGTAAGCAACTCCGTAAACGATATGTTCCCTGTAAGTAACTCCGTAAACGACATGTTCCCTGTAAGCAACTCCGTAAACGAAATCTCTGTAAGTAACTCAGTGAATGACATGTTCCCTGCAAGTAACTCCCTAAACGACATGTTCCCTGTAACTCCGTAAACGGCATGTTCTCTGTAAGTAACTCAGTAAACGAAATGTTCCCTGCAAGTAACTCCCTAAACGACATGTTCCCTGTAACTCCGTAAACGCCATGTTCCCTGTAAGTAATACCGTAAACGACATGTTCCCTGTAAGTAACTCATGACATGTTCCCTGTAAGTAACTCCGTAAACGACACGTTCCCTGTAAGTTAATTTAGCGTTGCTCTCTTGTAAGGAAAGAGTTAATCTGAGATCTTTACTGTTGGTTATAAGTGACAATATTCACTGCCTAACGCAGTAGTATAAATATTTACAGAACTATATTTAATTAGCTTCTTTCTGTTTCTGTTTATTTCATGTTTCCTTACCCTCTCTCACCGCCTCTTCCTCCCCTAAATCCCCTCCCCTCCCCTAAATCTCCGCCTCTTCCTTGTCCCTCAGCATCCCCTGGTTACAATCATCCTTCACATCTATCTTCACCTACTAGCTGCAATAACAACTTTCTACTGTCAGTTTCCCCAAAGTCCACCACCTTGGTTGAGTCCAATGACCTTTGCTGACTGACCTTTCTCCTGCGTTCGTAACTGTCGCTTCACATGCTCTCTTCACCATCCTGACCTTTATGTCTCATCTCCCGGTGTCATGGGATGAGAGTCGTGCCCGACTGAGTGGGCGTGGTCAGTGTGACGTCACAGGGACGTTGAATGGAATAAAAAGAAGACTTAAATTATAACTGTTCTCAGTCAGCTTTATGTAACTGGACTTGTAGGTCGTTGCAGGCAGTGATCTATGGAAGATTGTTGCTGCAGGACTCCCTGTTATTACTGTATAACAGCGAATTTCCTTAGCCAGGACGTGAATAAGGAGGAAATTACTGTTATACCTAACACGTAAAGAAGAGAGTCTGCAGATGTAGAGATAATACAAGTGTAGTGATAATGCACGCAGGAAGATGGGCGCTTATATACTGCAGTAAGATGAGGTGCAGCAGATGAAGGCATCGTTACTGGTAGGCGGGACCCACCAGTGGTCTTCAAATTACGGAAAAAAAATATACTGGAGATGGTACAAAGATGAGCAAGCAAGCTTGTACCATCACCAAGACACAAAGCATATGAAGAAGAATCATAGCATTGGCTTAAGCCGGTGGGAGAATTGAACCTGCCTCGCACGGGCCAGTAGGCCTGCTGCAGTGTTCCTTTATGTTCTTATACAACGTTTTCTCTCTTAGGAAATGAGGACTACGAGATCACATTCAATCCTTTAAGATATTAAATGGTTCTGGTAGACGAGTTCACATCTCGAAAGAATGGAATAAAACTGCGAACATACGTCAACATTTTTTTCAAAATAATTATACAAATACAAATAATTTTTCTTATCAGCAGTATAGAGGTAAACAAACCAGGGTACGGGTGGGGTCTGAACTCGAGGCAAGTGAGTCGTAAAACTCCAGGCTAGCGTGTAAGCCACGCTGGCGAGAAATTCATCAGTAAAAACTTGCATTTGTGGTCACAGTGGGACCCATGCTAACCTTCCTATGATGTATAAATATACCTTGTTGGATGAAGCTTATTGTAGCCAACTGGTCCAGTGGCTGACGCACTCCAATTTTACGACTCTCTTGCTACGAGTTCAGTCCATAACCAGTAGGCCTGGTCGTGGACCGGGCCGCGGGGGCGTTGATCCCTGGAATACTCTCCAGGTAGACTCCAGGTACTATGGTTTGTTTGCAATCGTATCATTACGATTTTATAAATCAGTATACAGGTAATGTAGTTTACATGTAACAAAATATTGTTAGACACAAAAGAAAGCCACTAACATGTGTATTTCGAGCAGACTAGTACTAAGACTAGTACTAAGACTAGTACTAAGACTAGTACTAATGCTTAACACTACTTAAAAACTAGACATGGGTTATTAAGTAAGAGTTTTTAAATGAAAAAATAAGAGAGGTAGCTAAGTGAACAATAGTACTATGTTAAGTATGTTAAGTATGTTAAGTATGCACTAAGATATTAGAGCCAGCAAATAAAACCCCCTAAATTCCACCAATACAACATTTGTCTTTGCAAGCACACAGGGTCTAAAGCCGTCAAAAAACAAGAAAATTCCTTACATTAAGGGACTGCTCACGGAGTCAAATGCAATGTTTGCAGCATTCACAGAGACCCACATAAAGGATCATTATGTCAACGAAATGTGGATCCCAGGTTATAACCTATTCCGATGCGACAGACTAAACAGACAACAAGGTGGGGGGGGGGGGTCGGCCTGTACGTCACAGAGTCGCTCATTTTCACAGAATTACTGAACACCTCAAATGATGTAGTTGAAGTTTTGGCGGTAAAGATCAAAAACCAAAACCTTGTCATTGTGGTAGTATACAAGCCTCCAGATGCAACTTCCCAGCAGTTCCAGGAGCAGCTTGAGAAAATTGACCACTGTCTGGAAAATCTCCCAACTCCTGCCCCAAACATCTTACTACTTGGAGATTTCAACTTGAGACACCTAAAATGGAGGAATATAGCAAACAGTGTTTTAGCCGAGATCACCCAGGAGACAGCTCAGATGAAAATTCACACCACACACGAACTATTAAATCTCTGCAACAAATACACATTAAACCAGCAAATAGTAGAGCCTACAAGACTAGAAAATACGCTGGACCTCATCTTCACTAACAATGATGATCTGATACGTAATATAACTGTATCAAAGACAATTCATTCAGATCACAACACTAAGAGGTTACAGACATGTATGCACAGGGCTCCGGACAGCCAAATGTAAGCATTCATGAAAGTCTCTTCACGAAATTCAATTTCAATTACAAAAACATACAATGGGATCAAGTAAACCATGTCCTAAATGAAACAAGCTGGGAAGATATCCTTAACAACACGGACCCGAACATCTTCCTTGAAAAAATGAATTCTTGTGGTTCTTGAGATCTGCTCAAGACACATTCCATTAAGAAAAAGAAAGAGAAGATGTAAACTAGAAAGGGAGAGGCATTCCTATAAAGATGAAGGCGAAGAGTCACAGAGCTGCTGAGTGGGGTCAATATATCTGAAATACGAAGGGAAGCTCTAGTCAATGAAATTACAAATATCGAATTTAAGCTGAAGGAATCTTATAGGAGACGATGAATCACAGGGAAGACTAAAGCCATAAAGGAAATTGAAAAAAAACTCAAATACTTCTTCTCTTATGCCAATCTAAGGGAAAAACAACATCCAGTATTGAGCCCCTGCTTAGGCGGGATGGGACGTACACAGATGACAGCCAAGAAATGAGTGAGATACTAAAAGTCCCAATATGACTCGGTGTTTAGCGATCCACTGCCCACTCTAAGGGTCGACAAACCAAATGAATTCTTTACGAACGAAACCCAAAATTTGATCATCCCAAAACTCTCAGATATTCTAACTCCACAAGACTTTGAAGAGGCAATTAATGACATGCCCATGCACTCTGCCCCAGGCCCAGACTCGTGGAACTCCATGCTCATCAAGAACTGCAAGAAGTCTCTATCGCTTGCCTTCAGCATTTTATGGAGAGGGAGCATGGACACAGGGGTCATCCCCCACTAAAAACGACAGACATAGCCCCACTCCAGAAAGGTGGCAGTAAAGCAACAGCAAAGAACTACAGACCGATAGCACTAACATCCCATATCATAAAAATCTTTGAGAGGGTTCTAAGAAGCAAGATCGCCAATCACCGAGATACCCATCAGTTACACAACCCAGGGCAACACGGGTTTAGAACAAGTCGCTCCTGCCTGTCCCAGCTACTGGACCACTATGACAAGGTCCTGGATGCTGTAGAGGATAAACAAAATACAGATGTATACACAGACTTTGCAAAAGCTTTCGACAAGTGTGACCATGGTGTGATAGCACACAAAATGCGGGGTAAAGGAATAACGAGAAAAGTTGGTTGATGGATCTACAACTTCCTAACAAATAGAACACAAAGCGTAATAGTAAACAGAGTAAAGTCCCAGGCAGCCATGGTAAAAAGCTCTGCTCCACAAGGCACAATACTCGCTCCCATTCTATTCCTCATCCTCGTTTCTGACATAGACAGAGATTTAAGCCATAGCTCCGTGTCTTCCTTTGCAGATGACACCGGATTACCATGGCAGTGACCTCCATCGAAGACACACGCGAGAATCCAAGCGACATCAACAATCTTCGAATGGGCCACTCAAAACAATATGAAGTTCAACGAGGAGAAATTTCATCTACTCAGATATGGAAAACTTTAAGAATTAAAAATGTGTCAGGGTTATACCACAAATTCTAACCATACAATAGAGCGGAAAAGTAATGT